CTCCTCCCGGGCGGCTCCCTCTCCCGCCACCGCCTCCCTACGCATGGCTGCCCCGGTGGCCGCCTGACGGCCGCCCGTCTCCCCCGCTGCGGGAGCCTCCGCTCCTGTGGGAGCCTGCGGTCGTCGCGGACCCGGCGGAGCGCGGCAGGTGGCGTGGACCTTGCGGGCTTGGCGGCGGGAGGCGCGGCGCGGAGGGACGGCGGGCGGCCCGGCCAGGGTCCTTGCGGGTCCTCGGCGGGCCCGGGGGAGGGCCCTCTTTGTGGCTGCAGTTGGCAAGATGGCGCCGGTGGGGTTAGAGAAGAAGCTGCTGCTGGGCCCCAACGGGCCGGCGGTGGGGGCCGCCGGCGACCTGACCAGTGAAGACGAGGAGGGCCAGAGCCTATGGTGAGACCGCGAGGCAGCGGGGCTGGCCCGGGACGTCGTAGGCCGGTCAGGTCCAGGCTGGCCCCGGGGCTGACCGCTTTGCCGTTGTTCCCACAGGTCCTCGATCCTGAGCGAGGTGTCCACCCGCGCCAGGTCCAAGCTGCCGTCTGGCAAGAACATCTTGGTCTTCGGTGAGCGCCGGAGGCAGGGGCGTTGCCGGGGAAACTGGGGTGGGCGAGGCGCGCATCCCTTTTCCAGGTCCCAGCCTTCCTGTCCCCTGCCTCCTACCTGCAGCCTGCCTCTCCGGGGAGGGCCTGGAGACCCTGGCTGGACCGCGGAGAGTGGCCAAGACCACGCCTGAGGTTGGGATGTTGTCGCTTTTGGAGAGCCAGTGATGCTGGCGTGGGGTTGAGAGCACATGCCTTAGTCATTTGGCCGCAACTTCAGTCCGGCTTTGAATGTCCCTGAGTCCTTATGCTTATAACCTCCAAGTTCGCTAAATTGTGAGTGCGGAGGGGGCAGTGAGTAGATGAGAAGGCTAGGTGGTGGAGGCGGGGGAAAGGTGACTTGGGGTCTGGGATATGGGGAGATGCCACAGGAGCCTTTCCTTGGTCTTCATGAGCAGCTCACAGTCGGAGGGACCTGCAAAGGACAGCAGGCCTTTGAGTCCTCACCAGGGACTTCCCTGCATCACTCCAGCCTTCTCTCTTGGGTTACCTGGGTCAGGTCCCTTAATGTCTCAGGCCTGTTTCCTCATACAAGTGAATGAGTTTGAGTTCGTTCATGCAGCAGATGGATTTGCTGAGTGGTTTTTGTAGGCTGGGCACTGGGACAGCACACATTGCAGGCACTACACAGGAACCTCAGACTAGTGGGAGACATGTGTTGGGTAATTGCACTTCATCATGCCAGGCATAGGCAGATTACTGTGGGAGCATCACACTGCTTGCTGCTGTTTTGAAAGGGGTACTTTTGGGGTCAAGTGTTTTGAAGAATAAACGTCAGCATGCAAGGACACAAAGGGTTAGTGTTTTCAGGAATACAGAGGTAACAAGAGGGTGTGAGAATTTGGTATCCACCAGGAGCTCCTTGTGGAAGGTGACTAATAAGTAAGTTGGGGGCAGATTGTGTAAGGCTGAAGAGTTGCTTTCTCCTGAAAGCCCCTGATTCTCAAGGGCCTTTTATTTCACCTCCTACCCCTAATTCTTATGGGAATCACTGCAGTGGTGGTCTCCCCACCGTTCTTGAGGAAAGCATGTGATCTTTAGGTGATGAGCACTGCACTGGGTAATAGAGACCCCTTAGAGATGGTCAAGGAATGGGAGATGAGGGACACCAGACCTGTGTTACAGAAAGAACACTGGCAGCAGAGGGGCAGGTGGCTCAAAGTGAGCGGGTACCGAAGGTAGGCTGACAGGTGCTCTCTGTAGTCCAGATGGAATGTAGAGGGCCTGAATAAGGTAGTGGCATCGGGGGATGGAGAAGAGGCCTTTGATCTGTGGAATGTCTTGTAGTTCTCAGGTTCTGTAATTCCATGTCATTAAATCCCAGGGGTGCCTAGTGATGTTTCTTGGTGGTGGCTCCTCTTAATATTTAAGGTCTTCTTTGGAGAAAGGGGGTGGGTAGTAGTTGGGTGGAGGGGAATGAGGAGGCATTTGGTAATTACTGAGATTATACTTAAGAGCTTTGCTTAGGTCTGTAATTAATTTTCATCAGTTTCTTAGCCTCCAGGATGCTTATGAAAGATATGTAAAATCCAAATGAAGAAGAGCTTCTATTCTTGATGATTATGAGGCAGGATTAGACATTTTTTAGTTCAGAGTTCCTGGGCATTAAGGCTAATTATATTTTGAAAATGTCTCGCTTTTCTTGTGAATGAGGCATCACCCTGTGGGAGCATCACACTGCTTGGTGTGAGAAGCTAACCCCTTTAACTTTGACTTCTCCAAATGCATGTCTGATGAATTGTATGTGGGGTCTGTGTATGTGCCTTATTTCTTCCCTGTGAAGTGAGGATTACTGCAGTGAATGTCATTTTGGATCTTGGAATTTGCTGCCTTTATCACTCCTCCCTACCCCAGCCACCCTTAGCAAAGCCTGCTTTGTTTATGAATGCAGGTGAGACCCCACCAGCAGGTTTTGCTGGAAATTCTTAGTTGTTCCTTCCTGTATGAATGTCAAGGCTCCCCATTCTGCCAGAATAAACAATATGCTTTGTCTTTTTATATACATCATTTTTAGGTGAAGATGGTTCTGGTAAAACAACCCTCATGACTAAACTACAAGGAGCTGAGCATGGCAAAAAAGGAAGAGGCCTAGAATATCTCTACCTCAGTGTCCATGACGAGGACCGAGATGGTGAGCAAAGCATGGAACCATGATAAGGGGTGCTTGTTGGTCTCTCTGACTCCTTTGTTGTCACTCCTGCAACATGTCTAGGCATTCTCAATTTTCTGTTTCATTCTAAGAGAATTACTCACAAGAAAATAGGTGAACTGTGTCTTTGCAGGACTTCACCCACTTTCCTTATAGAGTGTGTTAGCAGAAATGGGGAATGGGACTGTTAGCTGGTGCTCTGAGTAGCCCCCACTTGAGAGGAGATACTGAAAGAAGTGTTTCAGGTGCACATAAAGGAAGTGAGAAAGATATTTTTTTTTAAGTGTCAGACTCTTCTTAAAAGAAATGCTTGGAAGATGTATCTGGGCATCTTTGTTACCTTTCCTAATTCTAGTGGAGAATCTGAAATTTGTGTGGTTCAGAGTATAACAACATACTCAGGAGAGGTTTCTGAGTCTCTCTGTGACAGTGTAGAAATGATTTCTTATGTTTCCTTCAGTGGTGAGAATAGAGGCTCAGGTGGTAATGTTCTCTCTTAATTTCTCATCTCTAGAATGTGAGTAGTAGTTGTTTCTATCTGTAAGATAGTTAAGATAATTAAAGGTGCATAGTAAGTACTCTTCCAAGGATTAGATATTTTCAAATTCTTAGAAATATGAGTTGGAGTGGATAATGGTTTTTAGTTAACCATTACTCAGTAATAGTGAAGTGTTTATCAGTAATAGTGAAGTGTTTATAAACATTTAGGCTTCATGTCAAATTTGAATGGTTCTAAAATAAATAATTGGTGCCTTTTTATTGGTAGGAAAGTTACCTGTGTAGCCTAAGGATGAAGTATCTGCATTAAATTACTTTCTTTATATTTGCCTTTATCCATTTAAACAGTAAGGATTTTTATGTAAGGGTGATTATATAAGGGGGCAAATCCTACCACTTCTGGTCCCCCATTTCCTTATTGCTGAAATGAAGAGGTAGGACCCACATTCTTCCCTGCACTATAATTCTTTGATCTCTAAGAGTCATTTAATAGAGGGCATGGGTAAGGATCTCTTGTTAAATCATGGAGATCTGCATTGTATTAATGTTAACTTAGTGATCTTCTTAGAACCCCAGGGACTTTATTCTTCCTCCTCCTCCCCAACTTCTTTGACATGTTGAACATGCCATGAAGTGTGTGGAAGAAAAGTAGGAGGTAGACCTGATGCTGAGAGCTCTCCTTGTGTAAGCAGACCAAAGGCATTCAGGTGTCCATCTAGGCCCACTAGAGTCTGTGGGTAGGGCTGGGACTCAGGGACCACTGAGCAGGGCCCAGAGGCCTCATATCTGAGTCTTTGGCTTCCTGTCTGTGTTGGGTAGCATGGTTATTGTGGAAAGGGCTTTGGAGCCAGGCAGAACTGGTTCAGAATCTCAACTCTGTAGTGACTAGTCATGACTGACTTGCCCACTGTGCATCCCAGTTTCTTCCTTTGTAGAATTGGGTAACAATGCCTATTTTGTAAATTGACAAAAATAGAGGTGGCATGAGTCAGATGTAGGCAAGTACTTGAGACACAGTGGTAGCTCTGCTGTCCTACTGAAAGTATAAAACATTGTGTAGGTACTCTGTGAGTCTCTACCAATGCTTGTTTCGAGATGACATAAGTATATTTCATGCCAAAGCATTGTATTAACCATATTCACTTGCCTTTGAATACATGTTAACTTTCATTTCAGATTCCTTAAGCTTGCCTTAAAATCTTTTTGGACTCTGCATTTATGGATTTTTTTTTTTTAGGTCACCTACTTTCAAGTTCCTCTTTGATGGAAGAGTTGCCCTTACCTGTGGTTAATTATACATCTTTTGGCCATAGTCTTTTTTATTGTGTGGTGTGTGGTGTGACTGGGTATCACCCAGGTAGAGAAAATAGTCTATGGCTTGTCCCTGGTTTGTGGTGGGGTATGACATGTCATCGGACCACAGCCTCCAGGGTTGGGGGCATCTGTTTAACGCCGTATGTGGTGTGTGTGATCTCTGTCCATATGGATGAATTATGTGTAGTGTGCAGTGGGAAGAGAGGCTGAAAAAGTGAACCATACCTGGTGCAGGCATTAAAATCCGCGGTACACTATTTTTCAGACACGGCTTCAAAGCAGTATTTTTGAAGGCATTTACAGAACCCAAATCCAGTATCTAAAATGTAGTACAGTTTTGAAAGTGTAGCTAGATATAGAAACCTTATATTATTGAAATAAAATCACAAATATAAACTTCTTCACAGCATGTGAATGAATTGGTTACACAAAAGAAATTAGCTAACAGAAGATGGATTTTTAAGGTGTGTGTTGGCATATATTGGGAAAGAAGTTAGCGATATGATATTTTTGAGGTAGTTCTCCCTTCAGGCACTTTTGTAAAAAAATATTTCTCAAAAATGATACCTAAAAACATTAAAAAATATATTATTTTAGAGAATTACATTCTATAGTTTGATCATCTAGGTATGATTTTGGAACCATATGCTTCGTTAAATGCCAGCACTTGCACATTTGTGTATATATGTTTTTAACTTTTTACTATAGAGAATAAAAAATACATACAATCTAGAGAGACTAGTGTCATGAACTCTATTGTTATCTATCACACCTGTTCAAAAGTTACCAATTCTTGACCAATTGTATTTAAACTCTTCTCCCACCCTCTTCTCCTTTCACTCCACACTGGATTATTTTTAAACAAATTTCAGACATACATCACTTCATTTGTGAATACTTCCATATGTATTTCTAAAAGATATTAAAAGCGTAACCATATTGTGTACCAAAAATAATTTGGTACAATATTGCCAGGCATTCAGTAATTCATACTTCAATTTATCTTGACATTAAATATGAAGGCCCTGTCTCTCTGACACCCGTGGTGGTATGTGAATTCACTGCTTAGTGTGACCAACACAAGAAGAGCTTGTTTCTCCACAGGCTTTTCAGTATGGCTTGCTGCCTCACAATGCTGGTATCTTAGGAGAATGAATAATTTAGACTGGCACAGTTGACCAATGAATTTGTAGCTTTTATTAGTGTCTTGATTCTTCATGAGTGCTAACATATCCGTCAATCTTTATTCCTCAGACATTGCTGGAATCTTTTTAGATGTGGACACAATGTATTATGATAGTTAAACTTTTTTAAAGTTTGGATAGTTCACCAGGCACTTTGACCAAGGATTTCTGTCCACTGAGCACTTGGGCCCTTTTCTGGCTAGGATTTCTTTGTTCTATGTGGCCTTCTGTGGCTGTCACCTTCAGGTTCTTCTGATGTGACTCTTTCACCTGTGCTGATGGTCATTGTCAGGTAGTAACTTAGCTTCACATCTTTTCTTAGATCACACACGCTGCAATGTGTGGATTCTGGATGGAGACCTGTATCACAAAGGCCTGCTGAAGTTTGCAGTTTCTGCTGAATCCTTGCCAGAAACCCTGGTCATTTTTGTTGTGGACATGTCCAGGCCTTGGACTGTAATGGAATCTCTACAGAAATGGGCTAGTGTTCTACGTGAGCACATTGATAAAATGAAAATTCCACCAGAAGAAATGAGGGAGCTGGAACGAAAGTGTAAGTAAATAGGATTTTTGTAATTGGAAAATTCACTGGTCTCTGGATGGTCCCAGTCACCTTCCTGTCCAGGTCAAGAGGCCTGCAAAGCTTCCCTTACAGAGTGTGTTTTATTTGCTAGCATTTGCTTCAGAGTCGGCTCATAAATTCGGTAGTCAAAAAAAAGTATTCCAAGTAGCCTTTATCTCAAGTGTCGCAGTTGAAGAAAATAAATTGGTTTTCCTAAAATAAAAGGGTTCTTCCCTCATCCCCCAAAATGTGGTCAGTTCTGTGGGTCTTTTTGCTTTTCTGTTACTCTCTGCTGAGTTAGCTTCAGTGGGTGTGGAAGCTTGCTGTGGTCTCTGCGACTTAAGTCCATTGCCCTGGGATTCCATTGACGTCCTATGGACCCACTTGTTGGCAGGTTTAAAGAAAGTCCTACAAAAGACAGATATTTGAGGTCCTTCCTTATCCTTACACCTATTCTTTTATTTCCTTTTATCCTTCATTTTGGGACCCAGCAAATATATGATTGTAGTTAAAAATTAGAAGGTCATTTTTATGGTCATTAAAGTGAAGGGCTATTTTAAGGCTAAGGACATCCAAGTCCTTTTGAGAACAAAGACCTTTCAAGTTAAAGGAAGTTTGTTTTTGTTTTTTCTCCTTAATGTGGTTCAGAAGCTTGTTTTTCCTCTCCCTTGCTTCTGTGCAGTTACATCAGCTCTGTCTGCGTGCCAGGGAAATGGGAGGGGCGGGGGCTGGAGCTGTGTAGCTGCAGCAGTCTTGGCCAGGGCAGGCTTGGCTCAGCCTTGCTTATTTCCATGGGATGATATCATTCCCTTTTGTGAATTAATGATGGCTTCTAGGGATGGCACAGGGAATCTTCACACTTACTGGCAGAAGGATTCAGAAATGTTAATGTGTTTTTCAAATCAGGTTTCTTGCTGTGCATCTTCCTGTCAAACTTCATCTTGCTCCTGTCCCACATTTGCTAAAACAGGGAGTCTAACATCTGCTTGTTTGGTTTGTTGTGCATGTGTGTTTCCCAGGTCACTCACACATGCACTGCAAGTGATTGTTATGCAGCTCAGCTCATCTGTCTTTAGCCACTGATCTTTCTAGATAATGCCTCTTTTTCTCCTGAAACAGATCCTAAAGACGACTTCTTAGAATGGTTGTGAGGCTGAAGAGCTATTTTCCTTTCACTCACATTTAGTGTTGTACCCAGATTAGTGGGTTAATGCATTGGAGATTTATTTCTGAGACTGTTTTCTTAAAATTACAACCTTATAAAGATTTGTTAAAGCAGAAAAAAGGACAGAGATTGAGCCAAAGATACTGTTCTTTCCCAGATAGGGAAAGGTCCGCCTTGTACCAGGTTTCTTCTAGGCATTGGGGATACATAAAGCAGACAGGATGTCTGCTTCTAGGTAGTGTGTGTTCCCATGGCACACTGAATTTAGTTTGGAGTCTTAGTCGTTGATGTCTGTCAGTTTAGGATTAGATTCAATGGCTTGTGACATAAACCCAAAATAATGAGATTGAGGTTTATTTCTCTATCTTGTAAATGAAATCCAGGGGTAGGTAATTCAGGCCTGGAAAGCAGCTCTGGGAAGACAGGGCAAGGACCCTGGCTCCTTTCTGCTTACTACTTTGCCATCTCTAGGGTATGATTCTTTCTCTTGACAACTAGAGCTCTGGTCTTTGACATCTGTGTACCAGGCAGCAGGATGGAAAAAGCAGAAAAAAGGGATGAAGTGTGTGTGCCTGCTGTCTTTCTGTGGAGGTGGGGAAATGCAGTCTGTGTGGCCATGGGTTCAGTGTCAGGGTTCCATTTGGTTATAAGAGCAAGAGGAGAGAGGGCACTGAGGCCAACTAGCAATTGCTGGAACTGCCCGTGCCTCCTGTCTCCGGCTTACCTTCTGAGGGCCTCTGTCATTTTCCCTGCCTGTCCTTTGAGCCACACCTTTGTGTTGCATGTTGAAGGAGTGCCTTTGTGCTGGTTTTGGTTACAATTTAATAAAGTAGTTGGCTATCTTCTTGCTCTGAGGACTCCTGCTTTCCAGATTAATTAGACTCTTGGTGTTGCATTGAATGAGTGAATGAAGGCCTGTCACCCACCTGGTTTCCAATCTAACATCATTCTCCAGTGTACTGAGTTTGGAAGGCTGCTCCTTGCCGACTACTCTTTCTGGATTAGGTTCCCCAGTGGTCCTGAATCTGTGGCAGCTGTTTGGCTGCAGGATCCATCTGAGCAAGGGGGAGGGCAGAGCATCCCTTAGAGCCACCAGAAGGTGGTGCGTGTGGGTAGGTTGGTCTTGTTTTTCCTGCTGGGTGTCTGAGGCTTCCCTTGCTTATCAAATAGAGGAAAAAGATAAGGTGCCCATCTTTGAGGTCTTCTCAGGAATGTCAGTGAGGTAGCAGCAGCTAGCGTACAGTGCACTGTGTTCTTCCCATACCGACTCCCACCTGAGGCTAACGAGGAGCCTCAGGTGGGCCAGTGGCCCTTGCTGTGAAATACTGGCCATCCCATGATCTAGAGAGAAATTTTTAATACTAAGTTACGTGTGTGACCTAAGGGAAATGCACATTTTATTATCCAAATTACATAGTCCTCATTATGTTTTTATCTTCCCTTTTCACCAACCTCTGTGTTAATGAACTTGCTCTGCCTTAAGTTACTTTCTAAAATGCCAAGTTATTAAAAACACACATGCGTTTCCTATTGTTGTTGGACAGCCATAATTAAGTCATTCCTTTAGAGAGCGAGTAGTCTGAGGGCTTCCCAACCACTTTGGGAGCATGGTGTATGTAGAATACAGCAGAGTTGGCGCAGCGCACTGGAGAATGGAGTTTCATGGAGCTGCCCTGCCCCTGACTCCCGTCCCATGGTCACTCAGCTTACCTGTAACCTGCTACATGCTCTGCCTTGCTCACTGTCTTGGAAGCCCTGGTTGATCTTGGGCAGTTATAAAAAATATCCAGACAGTTGAACCATTGTATTCTTTATTGATTTGAAGATTTGTTGAAATGCTTTAAAAAGAGTGAGAACCTTTCATTCCTTCAAGATCTTTGACCAATCATGCTAACTTCATCAGAAAATTCTCCTCTGTTTTGGTCCAAAATGCAGTAAAAATCTCTTGAGTAGATTGCTTATATGGGCAATGAGATTATGCGAATGAGCTTAATTAAAGAGAATTGTAGAGATGAAATGCTACATCTGCATTTTAGGGCTTAGGCAGTTAGTTTTCAGTTTGCCCAGTACAATGTACTCCCAGATAATTCCAGAAGGTTATATAACGATAGTCTAACATCTTTATAATTTAAAACTTACTGTGTTAAAGTGTTTGAAACCTGTTGAGAAGATGCATATGTGTATCTTTCTCTAGATTCTCTTTAATCCAGTTATTTGCACTTTCTTATTGAGCATGTTGTGGATGAGAAATAAAAGGCCTTTGGTCCTTTAGTCCCATTGGGTGTAGAGGGGTAGAGCTGCCTGTTTGCTCCTGTGTCTCCAGGCAGCTTTAACCATCATGTCCTTGTTCCCTGGCCTGACGTATGGGCCTTGAAGCACCACGAAAAGGTAAAGCCTGTGGCCTTTGTGTTCACTTGGCTTAGCCAAGGCCATAGGCCACTCTTGAGCTTAAAGGCCCTCTTGTGGGGTTGCATCCTTCACTGAGGTAGTAACTGTGTGTGCCAAGAAATGGATGTTGTACCACCGACCCCTTGTTGTGTTAGGAATAGTTCTGTGAACATTGCACATGTGACTTAGGATCTCCTAAAGTTGAGACTGAGTCCACAGGAGTGAAGGTGACAAAGGAGTCATGGTTGGTGCTGGGCAAGTCCAGCCCTGCACCTCCATGCAGACATAAGTCAGCTGTATGGAAGTAGCATGTTCTTGTGGAATTTCCTTGCAGCTGCTATTTCTAGTGAGGACTCAAGAGAAATTTTATAAATAATAAGCTGTTTGTAGTGGTTGCCACTGTTGAAGTAGCACAGTTCAAATATTCTGCTGTTTGGAAAATGGAAGGTATGTAAGAAAAGTGACTTTTCTCATAGTAGGAACTACTGGAGCCTGAGAAGTTTCTAAAAACCCAGTTAAGGGTCAGATACAATTGAATATGTCTGGGAGAATGCCTTTGCTGCTCTGAAATTATCTACTCAGACTATGTCAGAAGTGGCATTTTGCATCACCATCTACAAATCCTTAATATTGCAGTAGGGTGTAATCAGGCAGTTTGTCACAACTCTTTATGTTTTGTGCTTGTTACTACCTCTCCCACTTTTCTAAAGCTGGCGTGTATATTTTATTTTGTGTGTGTATGTGTGTAATTTTCTTTTCCTTTTTCACCTGTAGTTGTGAAAGATTTTCAAGACTATATTGAGCCTGAAGAAGGTTGTCAAGGTTCCCCACAGAGAAGAGGGCCTCTGACCTCAGGACCTGATGAAGAAAATGTCACTCTGCCTCTAGGTGACAACATGCTGACTCATAACCTGGGCATCCCAGTGCTGGTGGTGTGCACAAAGGTGTGTGCTGGGGAAGTGCAAACTTTCTGGATTTGACCAGTGAACATCACCATCTGAAAGAAACCAAGAGGTTTTAATTAGATGTTTTCCCATAGGAGAGTTGGGCTAATTCAAGATTCTTTAAGGTATATAGAAGATGTCAGGATCAGGATAGAAAATACTCTAATTTAAGATTGCTGGTGGAAACATATCATCACTCAGTCTTGTTCATAGTCTGAGTTAATGTCTTCATGGAGCACTGTCAACTTCACTGAGTGATTCAAATTTAGAAGTAAAAGCAGTGTTCTTAAGAACTCTGTATACCAGCTCATGTAGTCCAAACTAATTGTGAAAAAATAATACTCTTTTGGGCTTTGGTTCTCTAAATTAGCCTGTTGGACTTGAGATGATTTTCAGAAATTAATATAATCCTAGGAAAAGAAGGAAGGGAACTTAAGGTTTGAGTATCTTCCATCCTATAAAGTGATGAGATGGAAATAGAAATTAAGGTAAGTCATAGAGAAAGTTGTAAAAGAAGTAGTTATTCCCAGTGAACTACTGTGTTGCCCACCAGCAGGGTGTGCCATTTGCATCATGCTATTAGAGTGAAGCCCTGTGGGAATGTGCAGTGCTCAGCCATGTCCTGGGGCCTCTTTCCTCATGTGACTTCATTTGATTCTTAGAACAACTGCGAGGTGATCATCCTGTTATATCCCCACTTTACAGATATGGTAACAGATCCAGTATGGACAAGAAATTTCTCTTTTTGGCTTTCACACTTGTTTAATTAATACTTGGCTATGGCTTTCTTCTTTGGAGCTGTGATACCTTATTTCTGAGGAAAATGCTGTTCCCATCCTCAGCAGGCAGAGAGACAAAAGATGATTCCTTTCTCTTTCTGTCTTCCCTGCAGTGTGATGCGGTGAGTGTCCTGGAGAAGGAGCATGATTACAGGGACGAGCACTTTGACTTCATCCAGTCACACTTGCGGAGGTTTTGCCTCCAGTGTATCCTTGGGGTGCTGTGGTGGGGCCCATGAGGATAGACTCCCCTGTCTGTCTGCTACTCCAGGCTTCTTTCCAAAGGGGGCATCTTCAAAGAGATGAAGTTCTTTCTGAATCCAGAAGAGCCGTATGCCAGGGAGAAATTATATACATCTTTATGCTAGTTTTGTGTTTAACTGCCTTGAAATTTGAGACTAATTTGTGCCTCTTTTTGATCACTTTTTATTTTTAATACCTTTAATTGGCTTTCATATTAAGAAGAAAGCTGATTTATGGTAATTTTATTACCAGATTACTTTGATCATACCTTGGAAATCTTTTTAAATGTTGATTTTTTGCAGAAAAATTTTAATTACACAACACTACTATTTTAGTTGCTGCAGGTGTTTTCCACAGATTGATGTGGTGTGCTGTCCATGAGAGAGATGCTGTGTCAGTAGTCTTTAGGTTCTTGTTTCTGTAGAAATCCAGTAGCAGTTGGTCCCATAGTCCCACACCCTGGGTGGGGGTGAGGGCTGGGTTCCTACCACTTCTTTGGACCCTTAGCTTGTCCAGCTCAGGGGAGGGTGGCAATGCAGTACCCATCTGTCATAAATGTGCATAATCTTTTAGGTGTAACTTGATCATGTGAGCATCTGCCTGGGAAAAAGTCTATTTCTTAGGTATACTAAAGTATTTTTATGGCTAGCCCAGGAGCCATTAATTTGACTGTTTAAGAAGTTAAGCGGTCAGAAGACACAGTTCACGTGTTAAAAAACGAACTGCATGGCTTGCTAGCATCAGTGTGCTTTATACTTTTGACATGGTTCATCTGTATTGACCATTTAAGTTTTAAAAATTTTAACCCTTTCTGTTGATCATGTATTGGTCAAAAACTGATCAACATGTGAGTAGGTGACAACATGCTGACTCATAACCTGGGGATCCCAGTGCTGGTGGTGTGCACAAAGGTGTGTGCTTCTGTTTGTTTGCTTTTGTCTCCTCCTGCAGTGATTTTGTTTTCCTTAAGCGGATTGATCAGATGGAGCTGCCTTGATATACACATCAGTGAAGGAAGAGAAAAATCTCGATTTGCTGTATAAGTACATTGTTCATAAAACATATGGTTTCCACTTTGCCACACCTGCCTTAGTTGTGGAAAAGGATGCAGTTTTTATGTGAGTTCTTTATAGGTGACACTTTCAAACTGCTTCTCTTTACCTTTGTTCTTTACATTTTATCCTTCCAAGCAAGGTGCCTTCTGTCTGTACAGCCAGCTTTCTGTTGCCTTGGGGCAGTTTTTTTTGGTCTGGACCTCATAGGGGATAGATAGACCCAGCTTTCCCTCTCTGCTCCTTCCCATGTTACTTGCCATTCTGCCTCCGTTCTGAGGTCAGGGTGCTGCCTTTCTTCAGAGCAAGTTGCCGAAACTTAAGCCAGTCATTTTTGCCACTTACTGTCAAATCTGGTAGAATAGAGGCTGGGGAGAAAGGTGAAGTATAGGGAATTGCTCTGCCTTGGGATCCTGAATGTCTTCTGTTGAAGCATCTGGATTCCCTGCCCATTGGCAGGGATGATTGTGAGCATGCTGGCTGGTGTCCCTGTCAGCATGCTGTGGCTATTCTGAAGGCTTATTGTGTTTGTGGTATTTCACATTTGGGAAGCCACTAGGGCTGATTGTCCTGGACAGAGACTTGGATACCTGTTTGCCCAAGTTTGTGTCTATCTCTCTCGGGAGGATGATAAGTATTGTGGTTTCATAAATGAATGTTGTTGAAGCTGTGGTGTTTGAGAGGACTTGTGCTGGTAAATTTATGTTTTTAGGTTTAGATACCCTCTGGACTTAAAAAAGATTTCCAGTTTATTCAGCAAATACCAAGCACCTCCTAGGTGCCTGAGTTCTATGCTAAGGACACAGAAATAATACATGGTCCCTGCATGTGGTTTAGGAGGGCACCCAGCTAAGCAGGGATAGGGCAGTGCTGGGGTGATGGGGACAGTGCAGCAGAGAAGTGGGAGTGAGGCCAGAAGGATGAGTGATATATGTCAGGCAGGCTAGAAGAAATGCAGGGCCTGGAGGGACAGTCTGAGAAAGCTGAGGGATGAAAGCCAAGAGTTCCAGTGGACTGAATAGGTCTCCTTCCAAATAATTCAGGGAGAGCCTCACTTGGGCTGCTCAGAGAGCAAACTTTGAACTGATTTTAGAGAACTGTTGTTCAGAGCCATCAGGCTGGTCCCAATGACACAAGCTCAGGGAGTGGTATGTTCTGAAGTTGGCCAGTGCCCAAATCGCATGTGATCCCCACGGAGCAGGAAGAGCTGGGAGACTGGTTGGGGCTGGTCTGGAGTAGAGAAGCATCTCGCAGCTTCTGAGAGCTGCATGGTCGTGGCGGCATCTTGATGGTGGCCTGTCTCTGCACCTGTTGGTGGTTGCCTGTTGGGGAGCTGGTGAAGTCAGCAAGGCTGTTTGGGTGGAGCGCCATGGCTAAGCACTCTTCTAGTTACAGAGTTATGTGCAGGAAGGAGTTGGATAGAGAATGAGAGCCCTGTTGGAACAATCAGTTGCCATCTTTTAGAACTTTTGGAGTTCAAAAGCATGTTATATAGCACATTTCACAGTTACTCCTTTAGGAGAATCTGGTGGGAACTGTAGGCTATGGCTTAACTTAATGGGACCTGGGTGCCATTCTGCCCTGTGATGTTGAGCTGGATAGGAGTTTCGAGGACTTTTTTTTGTCCCTCTGGTTTGGGGCCCAGGATAGTGCATGTCCTGGTCCCCCTAACCTTGGCTTCAGGTTATATCTTCCCATATCAGTAAAATAAAAGAACCAGTCCACAAGAAAACTGTCAGAAGGAAGAGTTCTCAGAGAAACAGCTCACAGGAGGGGTGCTTCCCAGCCAAAGCCCAGAGAAGCAGTTCTGTCCTGAGCTCTGTTCTCTGTGCCGCTCTCAGCATTCTCTACTCTGTCAGAACAGGGCCCTGTTGTATCCTTGCTCTTCTGGATGGAGTTGTGGGAAAGTTCTGAACACTCCCTGTGGGTCAGCCTATGGAATCAATAAGATCCCATTCTGGGTTCCGTGAACTTAACTAAGGAGCAGAGCCTGTTTTATTGATCTGCTGGGTTATACCTGCAGTAAATTTTGGTTTGTCTGCCAAAAGCTATAGGCCAGTCCCAGCAACCACAGACCAAATCTTGTGGGAAAGGATCTCACCCAGGAGTCGTCCTAATCAAGAATGTGTTCTGATACGCTGTAAGGCAGTCCCAAGAAAAACAAATGCACTTCTCTCTCTTTGACTTCAGACCTTCAGGCTGGGACAATGAAAAGAAAATAGCTATTTTACATGAAAATTTCACAACTGTGAAGCCAGAAGATGCATATGAAGATTTTATTGTGAAACCTCCTGTGAGAAAGGTGCCCAAATCAATCACTTTAAAGAGTTATATGTGCTTCTTATGGGGAAAAAACATATAAGGAAACAGTCTTACACATTGGGCCATTTTGCAGGTGGGTGAGGGAGTAATCCAAGGGCCTTTAAAAAAAAGTCTGTAGAGGAAGTCTGGTGCTCTGTAAATGGCTCCAGTTGGTGGGGCATGGGGGATGGAGCACCCACATATGTGTTTGGGTTGAAGTTTCCCATTAAATCCTGACAGTGCCGCTGCTACCTCTGGGTACTGTTTGTAGCTCCCTTTGCTCCTGTGATCTGCAGACCTGATGTGGGAGGTTTTGTTTAGCACTGCCAGACTTAAAAATGTCAGCTGGCCACATGCCAAGACTTGTCTTGGAACTGGGGAAAAACACAATGCTGTGGTCTCAACAGGGACTCTCCCCAGACCCGTGTTGAGACCCAAACCCAAGACTCTCCTTTCAGCATGAATTTTGACAGTAGTTCAGGGGTTCTTGGCCTGGGACTACAAACCAGTGTATCACTTCACCTCACTTCACAGCTGGTCCATGACAAAGAGTTGGCAGCAGAGGATGAGCAGGTGTTCCTCATGAAGCAGCAGGTGAGCCTACCAGGGAGGCCGGAGTAGAGGCTTCCTCATGGGTGAGATGCCAGTTCCCTGGGGCAAGGTTGGGGGGTATCAAAAAGAGCTTGCAGCGTAGAAGTGTTTGTGAACCCCGTCTCCTCGTTCCTTCTCATTTCTAGGATTGGTACAAAATGGTGAGATAGCTTTCTCAGGTTCTCCTGCCTGCCTTACAGATTGTCCTAAAGTGATAGGCTTAGTTAGTATCTTTTAAAGTATGCTTTCCCACTGGGAAATGTAGGTGTTCTGGCGTAATATTGTGTGGATAGTTTACCAAGTGCCCTGACCTCATTTCCATTATTTCACATAGCCACACACAGCCCTGTGCATGAGGGCAAGTGAGCTGACACACCCAGCTTGTTGGTAAGGAGAGTAACTTCCCCAAGCTGACAGTTCCCAGCGCAAGCCCAGCGCCACCTCTGTGTTGCATCTGGACTGCCCCAGTTCTGCCTGGTGCTGTGGGCAGACCTGCAGGGGGTGTTGAAAGATCCTTCACCAGCTGTCCCTTCTGTGCTCTCCCTGCTTCCTTAGCTTCTTAACTGGTTTCTGGGGGTATTTTTTCACCATACACCAAGCTGCTCAGTTTAAGTATTTTGCTTTATAGTGTGAGACCTCTTAAGTTGATTGTAGTTAATGGTGCCCTCTAGTGGAGTACTTGGAAGAGTGTCTCCAGACTTTCAGTGCATTCTACAGGCCTTGGTTAACAGCCATTGTGCCCCTCTCTTTGCAGTCACTCCTTGCCAAGCAGCCAGCCACGCCGACGAGAGCTTCTGTGAGTACCTTACACTAAACAGGGTCCAGGCCCAGTATCTTGGATGTCTTCAGACTTCTATGCCATTATTTCTGAGAGCTTACATTTGTGTGGGCTTTCCTATTTGCAAAGGGAATTTGGTCTCCCTAAAGGCCCAGGGCAGGGAACATGGTAGGAACTCAGGAAAAATCTGGTGAAGAAATACAGCTCTGGGAATTATAGTCAGCAGCTTTTGCTATCTTGATCTCTCTTCTCTCAGGAGAAACTGAGGTCTAGAAAAGGACTGAGCTGGGATCAAACACCCAGGTCCTGCCAGCCCTTCTCCCTAAACTGTGAAAATTACTTTTCAGAAGTATGTCTTCATTTTTGGAATATATGTTTTCTGTTATGTTTATGTCTGTGTGTGACTTGGGCTGGTTTTGGACATAGGAATCCCCTGCAAGAGGACCTTCTGGCTCTCCAAGAACCCAGGGCCGGGGAGGGCCAGCCAGCGTGCCTAGTACCTCGCCAGGCACGTCAGTAAAGAAGCCGGACCCAAATATCAAAAGTATGTATCCTGTCTCTGTGGAAGGTGGTTTAGTCCTAGGCCTGAGCCCTGCAGGGAGGAGCTCCATGGCCAGGTTTGAAAGGTGGAGATTCAGAGCAGTTGGGCTATTTTCTTCCCCAAGGAAGGTTGCTTTCCAATCCCCGCTCAGAGGGAGGGGCCTTGGGGTTGGCGGAGACCAAGGCCTGCTCCTTCCTTTGTTAGATTTGGTGGCCCTCACACCTGTCTTTGTGTAAGACCTCAGGCCGTGCCAATTCCTTCAGAGAGGAATACAGTGTCAACTTACTTTAAAATGTGTGTTTTGAGTCTTTAGCTTTGTTTCTCTTTGTATTATTACCACTTCTGAATTAGAGGATTTTCCCCCCTTCTCTTGTCAAGCTCAGTTACTTATTAGTTTAAGTAGCCATTATCCCCATGACTTAGTAATACCCAAAGATGTTGGCTGCAATAAAGCCCTCAGAACAAAACTGTAGTTTTTGCATGTGTGATGACTATCTTCTATTCAGGGTGAGAGCTCTTCATAGCAGCTTTGGAGTGTTAAGGAATTAACAAAACTTGGAAAAACACATCTCATGGACAGGGAGATGATGTGGGGCATGGTTATCTGTTATGTCTCCAAACAGGTGGGAAATCTAAACAGGTTTCCACTTATGCTTACACCTTAACCCCAGCAGTGGCAATATATGAGGAGTCATAGTAAGTGAATGTGCTCAGTATCCTAGGAAGATGATTTGCCACAAATTGGTAATTCAACCTGAAAAACCAGTAATTTTTTGTTTGTTTGAGTCATCCAGGTTGTATTGATGCTTCTGTTTCTTATTATTTCCTTAGATAATGCAGCAAGTGAAGGGGTGTTGGCCAGTTTCTTCAACAGTCTGTTAAGTAAAAAAACAGGCTCTCCTGGAAGTCCTGGTGCTGGTGGGGTGCAGAGCACAGCCAAGAAGTCAGGTACTGAAGGACCCTTGAAAACCTGTCCCCCTTGTGGTTGAACAGTGCTGGGAGGTGGCGGGTGGCCAGGCATGTCAGCCTTTACCTGGCCTTCAGACCCTCGGTGTTTTGAGCAGCCAAGCAAGGAGGCACATCTCCACTTCATACTGCGCAGTAATAGTACCTTATTACCATGTAGGTTTCCTTGGCACATTAAAGGTGGCGTTTATGTACAGGTCCTCAGAAGCTCTGTCCATTGGAGGCGATAATATAGAATGTGGTGTTGACATTTATTCTATTTAATTTTCTGTGATGCTTTATAACGATTTTTGTTCATTGCCTCCAGTCTTGCCATGAGCTAGAGCCTGTGAACCTTCCCTGTCTCACTGGAGGGTCATCATTTCCTCCTCCATGAAGCCCTTGTCACATATACACCTCTGTGTAGCAGCCTACCCTGCTGTCCCTCTCTGTGTGGACAATTGGGCATGTCTGTAGTCTCAGAGATCTCTGAAACAAGAGAGCTAAGTTCATTGGGAATTACACATTTACCCAGGAAGCTTGAGACCATTTTAAAAAGGTCTTTGCTTTTAATTTTCCACTGGCTATAAGGAATTTTAATACAGTTAACATCCCTAATTGGTGTTAATACAGTTAACATCCCTATTTGGTGTTTTCAAATCCAAATTGATGCTCAGATCACTCCATCCTCAGGTCAGCCTGGGTCTTCAGGGGCTCCCGAGTTCTTAGAGACTCAGGATCTCATCTGGTGATCCAGGCTATCAGCTGGTATTCCCTAACAGGAGACAGAGGCTGTTTCCAGGCCCCAGTTAGTGTTTGACAGCAAAAAAATATGAGCACTGATTTTGCGCAGGATTGAAATGTATGGCCTCACTAGTTTTATATACGTACGGAAGCATGGCATTTCCAGACTGTTCATGTGAGTTAGCCTAGAGTGTTGTAATTAGAAATAAAACCTAAACTACCTGTTCTATCTGAGGCACAGAAAGTAGTTTGCTTCATGCCAGAAACTCAGATGCCACCTCTAAGAAGCTGGTGATGGCAGTGCATAGGGGTCAGGGTTGGGTGGTGAGAATGTTTACAAAAGACCTGTGTTGGCGCAAAGGCACCCTAGGCAGGGGCAGTTTTGTAGTTGGGTGGAGTCATAGACCTATGACATTTGTAATTAAAAAGGGCTGAGTTAAGGGCTATCTCCTCATAATCATTGCAACAAAAAAGACTTTCCTCATTCTTACATCAACCATGTGTGATTATAGAAGTCTGTAAAATTTTAAATGTTCCTTTTTAAAAATTGCTCTCAGTTCTCCCATCACTGCTGCCCTTTTTTTCTTTTAAGGACAAAAGACTGTGTTGACAAATGTTCAAGAAGAACTGGATAGAATGACTCGAAAACCAGACTCCATGGTAACAAACTCTTCAACAGAAAATGAAGCCTGATTCTCCTTAAAAAGTGCATATGTAAAATGACCAAATAACTATGTATATTGATCTGCTGAGACAAGGATTATTCTGATATGGCACATGCTATCAGTTTTTTGGGGTAGGGGATATGAACTTAAAAAAAATACTTCATTGGCTTGTCTGAGTGAGAAGTGCACATTTAGGAAGGTTATATGTCAGACCCCTTTGTTAAGGATAACCTCTGGACTCTCAGGCATGTGGCTGTCCTGTGGGAAGCAAGTGCCGCTGGGCTTCTTGTGGAAGGGAAGGTAGATGGTGAGAAGGAGGGCCCACTTTCTTTCAGGGTGCAGCAGTGAGACCAGGAAATTATCGTATGATGGTTAGTCTGACCAGTTGCGTGCTTGTTAGCAAATTCACTTGTTCTTGGGAAGCAGATGAAGCAGCAGGAAGTCCAGGAAGGACAAGGACTGAAAGGAGGAATGAGAGAAGTGATAGTGGGGAAGCTGAATGTTGAAGGAGGTGGAGGAAGGAGGGACTGAGCAGTGTTAGTAGTACTGTGTGTTCAATAGAATTCAAGTAATCGTTTTTAAGAAGCATTTCCAAACTCAACACTAAGTAAAAACGGGAATTAGACTTGTTCTGAATGCATCTTTAACTTAGGAGGGATGTGCTAAGTTGGGGGATGCCTGAGTCAGGTGGAGCTGACAGGTGGGGAAGATGGTAGCTGCCCAAGAAGCACATGCTTGGCCCAAGCCATGTCCTTGTGGGAGGTGCTGGGCTCCACACTTTGGGCAGACGCTCACTGGGGTGTGTTCAAAGTCAGCAGTTACAAAATTAGTTTACTTTGAATTGTGTTTGCTGCATAGCTCCTGCTTTGTTTTTCAAATTAATTTTTTTTTTTTTTTTTTTT